GAAAGGGAGACTTCAGCGCCATTTTTCTAATTTAAAAAAAAATTTTTTTTTGTTTTGATTTTCATTTTTGTGTAGTTGATGATAAGTAATAGAATAAGTATAAAAAAATTTGAAAGCATTAGTCATCACCTTTACATAGAAATAAAATTTTTTAAAATAGCTTAAATTTTAGGCCGCTAGACCACCGGGTCCCCCCCCTTAACAAGAGTCATTATTTAATAATGCAAAACTGTAATTATTTATAGTTCACAAGTCACGGCAGTCACATAGTAACTGCACAGTTGCTAGTATTATTATAATTAGACAATGTCAAATATTTAATCAAAAGATTTCTTTTAAATATTAAATATTAATAAAGTTAAAATTAAATATTAATTAAGTTCTATTAAAAAATATGACCTAGAGCTATTTAAATTTAATTATTGTCTCTTAAAATACAATAAAATTTTCTTCAGAATAAAAATCACCCCGAAAAATTAAATTGATTGCAAAAAGATATCAATTGAGAAGTAGCAACTAATAAAACTACCTTTTGTAAAATATCACATGTTGATAAAGAGTAGGAGTGATTGAATGTAGCAATAAATTATTTCTTACCTATCCATGAACCTATATCTTGATCTATATGAAGCGTACTATTAATTTCGTAAAGTTGAGGTAATAAAACTCCACTGTATCCTATAGGCATGCCTACACCTGCGGTTAAAAATAGCACTGCGCCGGCAACCATACACTGGAAAATATAATAAAATTATGTTTTACTTGGAATGTTTTTTAAAATACTTCGGGGATGGAATTCAGCGATACTGCGTCGGGTTGAATTAAAAAAAATATATATTTTATCGTTAGTATTAACCTTTCAGATAGTTTTTCTTAATTATAATTCTTTTCGCAACACATGAGTAGAATGTGTTTAACTTTTTAAAAGTTTTTGAGGAAAATTCTCAAATGATGAAATATTTAAATTATCATGATATTATTTATTGTTATTACTATCTAGTTTATAAAATAAATTCGTTGTGAGAAAGTTTGTTGGTTTAATAGTCTAATTTCTGTAACATTATACTTTAACTTCGGTAATAAACGTTTTGGTATTTTAATTATCTTTTTGCAATGTATAAACACAAAACCCTAAAAATTTTATTTTTACTTTCCTGCATGTTTTATTATTTTATTATCTATATAATTATGAGAATAAGAAAAATTTTGTGTCCAGGATAGTTATATGATAAAATCGGTTTTTTTTAGTGAAGTTTAGTGTTATTGCAAAGGTCTTGATTTGAATTAGTGCTTTTTCAAGGTTTCGTATCATTCTCAAAGATAGTCAATTTATTATAATAAGTATTTAAGCTGCATTCGAAAATGCTCTATCTCTAGATACATGATTAAGAAATGATCTTGTATCTCGTGAGTTATTGACATTTTTTAAGATATAAGTTCATCCCGATGTTACACTCATCGAGAGCTTTCATTTGAATACCCACATCAATTTTTCATATATTTATATAT